AAGGGGAGTTGAGGTGCAAGAGAGGGAGTCTGTAATCCGATACATCGGTAAAACTGAAGTACTGACAGAGACTGAAGACCAGGATCCTTCCGGGGTTTTCCAGTCTCCCCCTCCCAAGTTTCCTCGGTTGTCTCCCTCACCCCCTCCCAGGATGTCTCCCTCACCCCCTCCCAAGTTGTCGCCCTCACAATATTGTAGGATATCAAAGAGTACTGTTCAGCAACAAGGTTGAGTAGAATTGATAGACAAACTTACTGTTCTGGCCGGTTGGTCATGGGTTCTGGCCGGTTGGTCATGGGTTTTGGCCGGTTGGTCAATTATTTGCATGTTTGCATGTGTGTGAAATGACCTGTTCCTGGTCTTGTCTGCATGTGTTCTCATTTTTCTTCAGAAATGGAGTTGTTTTTTGTTTTTTTAATGTATAAGGTATTATTATTAACATGTAGAAGGATTAACAATGTTTGTTTTTATTATAGTACTCAAACTTTGGTCCTTAAAAGACTCTGGGCAAATGGAGGCACTGGTTGGGCCATACCAGTTGTAGGACACATCTTTCTGAACACTCTGTGCACATGGCTGGCTGTCAGATGAAGTAAGACCACTTGCTCTTTGAAGTTTGTATTTCTCCAGTGCAGTCAGTCAAGAAACTAATTTACATTTTTTTGTTTTTGTTTGTTTTAACAGGTCATAGATGCATATTTGTATCTTCTCCTTGAGAAGAGCCAGGTATAAAGATTCTCTTTAGGAAATCTTTGATCCATTTCTCTTGTAATGACTATATTATTTTTTATTTCAGATACCTGTAGAGAGAATGGATGCTGTTGTGGCATCATCAATCTTTCACCGTGGGCAGTATCGGGCTGTTCTTAAGGTAATTATTTGCCATTATATCTTACACCATATGAACAAGAGCTAATCTTAAGGGAGTTATCTGTCATTTGGAATGATGGCGCTACCAGAGGCTCCATTTGCAGGTGCCCTGTAAATGTGGGAGGTCACTGGCTCTTAGTGGTATGTTAACTTTATTTCTAATACTACATGAATCCAACTTGTTTTATTATATTTGTTATGTTTATCTCGGATGTCTCTATCTCCTCCTCACAGACACACACACACACATATATATATATATATATACACACATATGTATGTATATAGCGTCACACCTAAATAAATCCCTTTAAATCTTTCATCTCACACTTCTATGCTTTTAGGTCCAATCTCGCCAAATCCGTTACAGTATGTACTTCTGGTTTCCAATAGGTTGTCAGGTCAGACCACAGAAATATTGTCGTGATAGACCCCATGGGCCAGGAGAAAGCTTATGAAAGAAGACTTCTCCGAAACTGGAGGTGATGTGAATTAATTCATAATCAATCTGTTCTTAAGCACCTTTTTTGTTGGCTACAATGCCCCTAAAGTAAGTATTTCTGCAACTGCACAGAAACTTTCTGAAAGCGAAAAAGGCCAGCCAGAGAAACTGGACAGTCATCAGTCTGCCACATTTAAATCAGCAGGATTCCAGCAGTTGCGGGGTCTTGATTTTGAAGGTACAAGGAACACAGACACAAATGTTTCTAAATCAATCAAATGGTAACCTTTAAATGCTATTTTTTGTACTTTGCAGAACAATATTTGAAGGAGGGAAGTTTGAGGTCAGTAGGCACTGGCCATGATGACATGCAGGAGGCCAGACTAGCCATTGATCACCCTGTTGCCACACAAAGGTGAAAAATATTAATTGCCAATACACCCATTTTCAAGGTATTAAACTGTAAATCATTAACTAGCGGGCATAAAACTATGACATTTGGAAATGTATTGCATACGACAGTTCTACATTTGTTATTTTAGTTTTACTATTAGAGAAAAATCTAAATTTGAAATAGCAACATAGATAGTAAATGCTTAATTGACTTTATTTACCAGACAAGGTGGAAGACTACTGCGTCTCCTGCAACATGCTGGACCATGATGGGAACCAGAAAGTCACTTATATGGTAAAAATCCTACTGTAGAATTTAATAGTTTCTATGCGGTACACTTCTAACTCATTTTACTTTCTTTTTCTTTCTACCTTGCAGATACAGTGTGACTTCTGTCCAAGTTGGACACACAATGAATGTGCCCCCCACTTTTCTGACATATTCAAATGTAAGAAGTGTCAGCTAAATTAATTTTATTTAAAGTAGAGTATGTTTTGTACAGTGAGTTATTTCTAATAAACCAGATAAGTTCCATTGGCATTTGGGTATTTATTTTAAGCCATATGACAATAAACTTTGGTTCAATCACACAGATGCATAACTTTTCAGATCTGTGAAATGACGTTCAAAATAATTATCTAGAATGACAGTCAAAAGAAAAAGTTGCAAAAAACTCTCACCTGTAGGCCTATCTGTTGGGTACACCCTATCTGTTAAACAAGGTAAGACCACACCCCTAAGCAATCACCTGGTGTGTAGCCAAAATCCAAATACCTGTTCGTACATTTCGAAATGGCAAATTTATCTTATCAAAGTGTATGCTGACGGGCTGATCTGACGGGCTAGGTATGATGCTCTGGCGGGCTAGGTGTGCTGATCTGACGGGCTAGGTATGATGCTCTGGCGGGCTAGGTATAATGCTCTGGCGGGCTAGGTGTGCTGATCTGACGGGCTAGGTATGATGCTCTGGCGGGCTAGGTGTGCTGATCTGACGGGTAGGTATGATGACCTGGCGGGCTAGGTGTGCTGATCTGACGGGCTGATCTGATCAGATCGTCATAACTAGCCTGTCAGATGAGTATACCCAGCCCGCTACTAAATTCAGTTTACCTAAAACTGTTTATTACATCACCCATAAATAAACAAAAGTACTTGACTTTCGGTGTGGTTTTCTGGTAAGTTTGTGTGTTTACCTTAAACTACAACCTTTTGTTTATCATATCACGCATAAAGTAGTCTAGTAAGCTTCGTCAATGTTAATCTCTTAGATTTCTGCTAAAGGTAGCGCATGCGTATTAACTATGGGTATGCTGGTCAGATGGGCTATTCTGATCTGACACCCCTACTGCCAGACTAGCATACTAGCATACCCCGTACGAAAATATGACGTCATGCGCATGCGTAATGACTATGGGTATGCTGGTCTGTCGGGGTATGCTGACCTGACAGAACACCGGGCGGGAAGGAGTAGTAGTTTTTGTTGCATATAGTCTTTATCTGGGAAAAACGGTATGCTTTGTGTTATTGATTGATTTAGTGTTGATTATTTTTTAAGTGAGAGATTTATTTCTAAAGATATCTTTGGTGTTTTACCTTCCTTTCCCCTGAAAGGGAGTCCTGAAGCCGGTTACAAAGAAAAATAATAGTAATAAAACGGCAAGGTCTCAGCCACAATTACGAGTCTGGTTCTTCTCTCCCTCCGCATGACGCTCCACCAAACAACAACAAAAATCCCAAGGCAGAGTCTAGGAGAGGTGCAGAGGGCCAGCAGCGGAC